AAGTACCACTTATTGTGAAATTTTTCTGTCGTTGTGTGCTCACTCAGTTTCTGGAGGCTTTTCTAGAGTCCCCACCCCCCCCATGGTATAAAATGTAAATGACCCTATCTGGAGGAGTTTCCCTGTGCTCTGGAGCACCGATCATCTGCTTCGTGGTTCAGTTGGTCAGGACTGTCAGATGTGAGTGGCTGCAGGGTCCGTCCTTGTCACTTTACCCTCTGTTTATATAGAAACATCCCCAATCCATAATGGTTTAACTAAGAAACAAAACAATATTATTTGAAGCCTGGTCAAAGGGGCATTGGTGTATTCTTTTTTAAAACCTTGTAGAAATCATTTCTGAACCCCTGGTGTCTCTGTTTACCTGCTTTTTCAGAAGCCTTTAGTTCCTTAGGCATGTTTCTCTAACTAAAGTTGTGTTTTTTTTCCTTCCAACTTGATATTGAAAGAACATTTTTGGGCTCGGCGTCTGTGGCTGAAGTGGCTAAGGCGCCAGCCATATACACCTAAGGTGGTGGGTTTGAATCCAGCCCGGGCCCACCAAAACAACAATGACGGCTGCAACCAAAAAATAGCCGGGCGTTGTGGCGGGCACCTGTGGTCCCAGCTACTTGGGAGGCTGGGGCAGGAGACTCACTTGAGCCCAGGAGTTGGAGGTTGCTGTGAGCTGTGATGCCATGGCACTCTACCCAAGGGGACAGCTTGAGGCTCTGTCTCAAAAAAAAAAAAAAAAAAAAAGAAAGAACATTTTTGTTATATTACTCTGCTCTCGTTTCTAGGTTCTAGGAACTCCTTAGCTGAGGTCAGAGTGGTCAGGAACAGAGAGGATGCATGCTCTGGTGGAGGACTCCAGGCTAGCCCTCCACAGTGGGCACCATGCTCTGTCTGGTGGAGGACTCCAGGCTAGCCCTCCACAGTGGGCACCATGCTCTGTCTGGTGGAGGACTCCAGGCTAGCCCTCCACAGTGGGCGCCATGTTCTATCTGGTGGAGGGACCCCAGGCTAGCCCTCCACAGTGGGCGCCATGTTCTATCTGGTGGAGGACTCCAGGCTAGCCCTCCACAGTGGGTGCCATACTCTGTCTGGTGGAGGACTCCAGGCTAGCCCTCCACAGTGGGCGCCATGTTCTATCTGGTGGAGGGACTCCAGGCTAGCCCTCCACAGTGGGTGCCATGCTCTGACTGCTGGAGGGACCCTAGACTAGCCCTCCCCAGTGGGCAAGTTGCACCACCTGTCTCCCGAGTCATTTCTCCTCTGTGAGATGCAGAGGAGACCACTTTTGTTTCTTGTGGGTTTGGGGTAAAAAGTTACGAAACAGTGGCTGTGAAAGCACTTGGAAAAGACCTTCCTGGGCAAGGGTAAAGGATTGCTGTTTTTTATAACTACTCATGTCCGTTTTTCTCAGCAGTGCTAATGATTTGTTGTAAATCCTTTTAAAACTGAGAAACATGTGACGGATTATTTGGGCTTCCCCCTCTTAGCAACAATGGGGAATTTGTGCTGAAATTTGTGTTATTTTGTTATTTGTTCCTTGCTACTTCCTCTACCAGTTCCTGTCTACCATTTAGAACTGAGTCCAGCATTTTTTCTTTTTAATTCTGAGTTCTAAAACTATTTGTTCCACAAATCAGTTAAATGTGAAATCTCTACTTTCCGTTCCAAATGAATGAACATAATAGAAGCTCTTTGTTTTCCCTCTATTTGGTCTAATTTTGTAGCTCGCATATTTAATGTGACACCTTTCAGTCACGTGGACGCCAGCAGCTGCGTGGAGTGGAGCCCCAGTTCACCCTTCTGTGCTGATCCTAAGTCTGAACATGTGGTTAAACAACTTCGTTAGATTACTGTGGATATTAAATTAACTGACTTGACAAATGACGCTGCCATGTGCCAGTCTTCATGCCAGTGGTCCCCATGTCCTGTCCCTGTGACTGGCCTCATCTTTCCCGGGGCTGTGCCCAGAGCAACAGCCTGCATTTGATAGTTGGATCTTGTGTGGCCAGTGGAATAGAGAGTTGCACAAATCTTGTGTAAAAAGTGTGGAGTAGAACCCAGGGTGAATCAGGTCAGGAGTAGAGATCCAAGAAGGAAACCTGGAGCCAGAGCCTCAGAGTTTATGAGTGAGGAACCCGGGAGGCGGGGAAAAAGAGAAGCCTTTGAAATAGGGCCACAGGGCTGCCAGTGCCGTCTGGGCCTGTGCGGAGAAGGCTCAGCAGTGAACTGGACAGGGGCCTCTTTTTATCCCTTTAGTCTCTCCTTCCCATTCTTCCCAGAAGCTTTGAGGTCCCTTATGTTGAGGTATTACATATCATTGCCTTTCCCCCCTGACCCTGCCTATAGCACAGCTAAATGTGACAGTTTAGGAAGTAGGAAAAGTGAGATTGAGGTTTGACTCGACATCAACTGCAGTTGCGATTGCTGCTGGCCATTGTTCACCGGCTGTGTGCCAGGCGTCTTGGAAGATGTGTGGTGTTGTAGCTACCCTGCCACAAGAGAAGCTGATTGACTCTCAGGAATTCCAGAACGGGGTGTGTTGGAGACCAGCTCCTTTGACCTAAGCTAGGAGAGGTTGCAGTGGTATGCATATGCCATGGTTTATCTGTTTGTGAGTTGATGGGCACTTGGGTTGTTTCCACATCTTAGTGATTATGAATTGAGCTGCAGTAAATATTCGAGGACAAATGTCCTTATGAGAAAGTGATTCTTTTCCTTCCTGGTAGATGCCTAGTAATGGGATTGCGGAATCAAGTGGAAGGTCTGTTTTGAGTTCTTTGGGGATTAACCACATTTCTTTCTAAAAGGGCTGCATTAGTTCGTGGTCCCACTGACAGTGTGTAAGTGTTCCCTTCTCTCCACATCCCCACCAGCATCTGCAGCTTTGGGCCTTCGTGTTGTGGGCTGTTCTCACTGGGGACAGGTGACATCTCAAGGTGGTTTTGATTTACGTTTCTCTGATGATTAGAAAAGATGAAAGTTTTTTTCATGTGATTTTTGCCGTTCATCTGTCTGCTTGGGAGAAGGTTTGTTCATGTCTCTTGCCCACTGATAAATGGGACTGTTTGCTCTTTTCTTGTTGAAGTGTGCACTATTCTTGTCTCCATGTTACACAAGGGAGAGTGGAGTCACAGGGAGGTCAAGCAAGTCACACCAGGTCAGCTGCAGGTGGGGTGCAGCCAGGATTAGAAACCAGGCCTGGAGTACCAGTGGCTCCTGAGGACCCTCTCCCAACCCTAACCTACCCCCACACTCCACCAGGGCCCGGCTGAGTGCCGGGAATCCTGGGATTTGGGAATGCCTCGAGGGGGGCTCAAGGGCAGAGGGTTGTTGTCATACTGTCCCACCAAGTGCAGAATGTTTACAAGTGCTGTATCCAGAAGTCTCATCTTCATAGGAGAATAAACCTGTGTTTAAGCACCATGATTTTTTTAAGTACCGTGATTTTAAAAAATCATTTAATTTCACCTTAATTATAGAGCTGAAAAGTACTCCCATGAACTTACTTTGTAAAGAGTTAACTGATTTGCCTAAATTCACATAGTTTTCTTTTCTAGCTTTGTTTAATCATTGACATTGTACCAGATGGTTGCTGGGAGGTAGGCTGTCACCTCTCCACTATGCTGTGAGTTCCAGAGGAGCCAAGTGTTTGCTCCCTTTTTATCCGCAGTGTTAGCCATGGCCTGTGTCTGCCGTTCACCAAGCGTGAACAAAACTGCCGCTGTTTCTTGAATGTTCATCATTATGTCATGTGATGACAATGTTGCCATCTTTTATCGAATATAAGGTATAGATGGTAATATACACAATTATTTTATATATCAGTAAGAGAAAAGAACCCTGACAGTTAAACTCTGACACAAGTGCTTTATGCCACTTAGAATTTTTATTATATACCTATTGAAATAGCTTTTAGATTTATTTAGACATTGATTTCTATCATGCTGTTCCCATGTGCCCATAAAAGGGAAGTGGATTGATGTAAGTATTCCTAAGATTGCTTCACTTTAAGAGCCTGATGCTTCAAAATCTCTTTCAACTTAGAGTTTTTATGTTGGTGGCTTCCCACATAGTATCATTCTCTGTGCCATCAAGAGTGTGGGTGGTGTGAGGGCACAGCAGTGTCTCTAAGAATCTCCTCTAAGCATCTAATAACTGTTCTGTTTTTTCTATTGTTGTTGTTGGTTTTTGTTTTTTTTTTTATTTTGCAGTTTTTGGCCGAGGCTGGGTTTGAATCTGCCACCTCTGGCATAGGGGGCCAGCACCCTACTCCTTTGAGCCATAGGCGCCACCCTCTGTATTTTTTAGAGAGAGGGTCTCACTGTTGCTCAGGCTGCTGGAGTGCAGTGGTGCGAGCACAGCTCATTACACCCTCCAACTCCTGGACTCAAGTGATCTTTTCACCTTAGTCACCCAAGTAGCTGGAACTATAGGCCTGTGCCACCACGCTCGGCTATCTTTAAACTTTTTTTTTATAGAGTCAAGATCTTGCTATGTTGCCCAGGTTGATCTTGAACTCCTGGCCTCCTCCAGACCTCTCACTTTTGCCTTTCAAAGTGCTAAGATGACAGGCATGAGCCACTGAGCCTGGCCATTTTCTGCAGATTTTCATCCTCGTGTTTTCTTGGCATCAGCCAATCAGAAAGGACGCTGTCAACTGTGTTTCTTGGAAGTGAAATAATGTTCCGTAACACGGTCTGTTTCAACACTTTTGTAGTGACCTACCTACATATGCACACAAATATATATATACACAAAATATGTAATATTTATACACACATGTATATGTGCCTACGCATCTCTAATGAGCATTTAGAATATAGCAAGCATGCAATACATTGTATTATTTTTACAAATAATTTCTTCATTTTTACCTTTTTTGCCCTGGTGTGTTGCCTTTAACAAAGCTTTTTTTTTTTTCTTCCCTCTTTTGGTGGTTGAAACTGTAATTGATTAAAATGTATTTGTCTACTGATAGTCTTGGCTCCTTTTCTGTCTTTTCTCAGGCACGCTACAGAGAGACCTTTCTGTCCTTCATGAACACACGTGTGGTAGACAGATGACTGTCCCCTACCCCGTGCTGCTGTAGGGGCTCCAGACCTGGGACTGTCCAGGAGGGAGAAGATGGACTCCAAGGATGAGAGCGCACACGTGTGGCCAACGTCCGCCGAGCATGGACAGAATGCTGCGCAGGTGAAGAGGGATCTTTTCCAGCCTATTATTGATCACTGGATCAATACCTGGATACAGTTTGCTGATAGCAAAGAAATAACCACTGTCCAGAAAGTATCCAGCCATGTACTATGAAAAATAGAGACACGCATGGCTGGGCACTTCCCAGACAGCCCTGGTGTAGTAATGAATAGTTGAGAGGGAGCCGATGCAAAGAGCTTGCTCAGAAGGAATTAAGAGTGTTTGGCCCCTGCAATGTCGCATGGACACAGTTCACTGTGAGTTAGAAGAGCTAAAACACCTCCACAGGCTTCTCCTCCTTGTCTTTCCATCTTGATCTGTTTCGCTGCTCTGCTCTATTTTACGTTATTGGTGCTGAAAACCTCAAACTGAAATTTGTTCTCTTATGTTATCTGGTATAGGATTTTTTTTTTTTTTTTGAGACAGAGTCTCACTATGTCGCCTTGGGTAGAGTGTCATGGTGTCACAGCTCATAGTAACCTCAAACTCTTGGGCTTAAGCAATTCTCCTGCCTCAGCCTCCCAAGTAGCTGGGACTACAGGCGCCCACCACAAGGTCCGGCTTTGGCTGCAGTTGTCATTGTTGTTTAGCAGGCCTGGGCTGGGCTGAACCTGCCAGCCTCAGTGTATGTGGCCAGCACCTTACTGAGCTATAGGCACCAAGCCTAGTGCAGGATTTTGATCCTTTGTGCATAATGAAGTACAAGGTATGTCTATCAAGTGAGTGATCTTTTATTTTTCAGACACAGTCTCTGTCGCTTGGATAGAGTGCTGTGGCATCATCATAGCTCATGGCACCCTTAAACTCCTGCCTTCAAGCAATCCTCTTGCTTCAGCCTCCCAAGTAGCTGGGACTAGAGGCATGCACCACCATGCCTGGCTAGTTTTTTCTGTTTTTACTAGAGACAGGATCTCTTACTTGGGCTGGTCTCACAATTCCTGAGCTCAAGCAATCTACCTGCCTTGGCCTCCCAGAGTGCTAGGATTATAAGTATGAGCCACTGTGTTGCCTGGCCAGCCTTTTCTTTTTAAATTTTCAGTGTAGACCTTTAAGTAAGGTCCCATAAGAGTCAACAGCTTTGGAGGCTGGGCGCTTATTCAAATGCTGCTGTCACTGATGATCTCTGCTGTCACTGATGATCTCTACTGTCACTGATGATGTCTGCTGTCACTGATGATGTCACTGATGATCTCTGCTGTCACTGATGATCTCTGCTGTCACTGATGATGTCACTGATGATAGCTGCTGTCACTGATGATCGCTGCTGTCACT